ATCTATCAACCAGTCAATCAATATTTACTGAAGGCCAGCAAGGGAAAAACATGTGATGCTAGATCCTGACGCCTTGTGGCAAATCAATTATATCTGTTATGCCCAATACTGATGCTTGTTAGATGTGTAATATTTTCGACCTTTTTGCAGTTATGGTTATTATTATTGTTATTATTTTGTTTGGCCCGATATCTTTCTCTGATTGCAAGCRAGGAGGAAATTATAATCCATTTGCAAATTTCTCAACTGTGTTTCAAATATGTCTCTGGAGCTCAAGGTCTGCATGTAATTATTAAATGGTTCACCACAGAATAAACTGGCTCTACTTAAAAAGGCACAATCCTACAAAATCAAATCAAGCACAGGGCAAGACATGGTAAGGTCCCTATTCCCTAAAAGAGAAATGTTCTCTGCATATGTATGAGTGTGTTTTCATAAAGTCTTTTGACTTTTGAGTTTTAAATATGTTCTTAAAGAGATGTAGATTTGAAGGGAAAGCAAGTTAATAAGTAAGTACAGAGGGCATGATATAATGGTTTCAAGTGTCAGGGAAACCCAGGAGGGATGTGTTGCTATTCAACTCGGTTTCCTTTCCATGGGGTAATTTTTTACTTGCTCGTTGGAGGCTATTCCTTGTAGGACATTTTATTTTGTACTTTCCACAGCAATGAGGATCCGTGACGGGGAGCTGCTGCCATTTCCTGTGCAGCAATTGCTCCTGTGTTCGGACTAGACTTTGTGGCAGGCAGTGTGGCTGGAACAGTGAACAGCAAAAGCCCATTCCTGGTCAGCACCAGTCAGCCTTTCCTGGAGTTTTGGTGCATGCTGAAATGAACCTTTTTCAAGAGCCCCAATTCTGCCTTACAGAGATGGAGTAGTGGGCTCAGTGCCCACATCCAGTAGAGAACACCTGAAGAACTGGTGGCATGCATTTGTGGCTGTGAAGTTGAGGTGCGGCTCCTGTGTGACCTGCAGCAGATTCTGTATCACCCAGGGGTCAGTGCTGGCCAATCTTAGGGCTCCTTGGGCCTCTGGTGGCAACACTCCTTGAGGACAATGGGAGAAGGTTTCTCATCTACACCTCCAGTTCCTCACCAGACTACAACATCTCTCCTYCTTTCTCTTAGCAGCCTGTTCAAATCTTCCCTGTCCCTTCCATGAACCCTTCTTAGAATGATGTCCCTGCACCAGTCTTTAACTCCCAGACCAGTTATCCAGTCCACCTCCTGAACCTCTCAGTTTCTCCATCTTCGTCTAAATGGGGTACACTTGCCCTAGGATATACTTGTCSGGTACCTCTACTATCTTCCTTCAAATCCTGGACCAATGACCTCCTCACTGGGTGCAAAACCTGCCTCTGGGACTTATTAGCTGTTTGACCTTGCACATTACTTAAGTTCTCTGTGCCTCAGTTTCCAAAATGGGAATAATTTTGGTAATACCTGTTCAGAGGGTTAGTATATGAATTAATGGAATTAATACACACAAGCACTAAAAATAATACCTGAAGGATGGCTAACTGATCAGTGTGTACTAACTCTCCTTGTTTCATTGTTTCAGCCTGGGCTCCATTTTACACTGTAGTGATTTGAGCATGTGTTTCCTTTTCATATGACATTGCAGGCTCCTTACAAGCTGGTACACCCAAACTAGCAGTTTCATGAGTACCAAACTCTGGACCCAGGTCTAGTGATTGTCTCATTTTGTGACCTATTGCAATTTAAGTTTTCTTCTCCTCCTCCTCCTCCTTTTTTTTAAACTGGGGATTGAACCCAGGGGTGCTCAACTCCTAAGCCACATTCCAGATCTTTTTAAATTTTAGAGACAGGGCCTCACTAAATTGCTGAGACTGACTTTGAACTCACAATCCTCTTGCCTGAGTCCTGAAAGGGAAGTGACCACAACACTCGGAGGGACCAAAAGATCTTTACTGCAGCAGTGAGAAAGAGAAGAAAAGAGAGAGAGAAAGAGCAGGGAAAGAGAGAAGAAAGGGTGGGGGAGAGCAAAGCACAAGAGAGAAATAAAGAGAAGAAAGAGAGAGAGTGAGAGGAGAGGGAGTTTGAGAGAGAGACTGAAAGCGAGAGAAGAAAGAGAGAGCAAGAGAGAGGTTGAGAGGGAGAGTGAGAGAGAGTGAAGAAAGAGAGAGCAAGAGAGAGCGAAAGTAAGAGCAAGAGCAAGAGAGAGAGACAGAGAGAGCAAGAGCAAGAGAGAGGGGCCTGGCAGGAGGGAGTTTTTATAGCCAAATCTAATGGGGTCTCTGGGTCTGCAAGCTGCCTTGTTGGTGTACAGTGATTGGATCATACAGTAGTTGCTAAGGTGTCATCTTCTGCCTTCAGGCAGATGGGGCAGGGGTCAGATGTGGGTTTCTGTTGCACCAGATGGGCAGGGGCCGAGTATTTAGTCTTGAGTGGGGTTGAGTGTTCAGACTTGATGCAAACAGGTGATAAAGGACCAGACAGAGGGGGCTTTGGGTGCGTGGGTTATCCTGCAGCTAACATTCATTCAGYCTGCCCTGCAGTCAACTTGGTTCAGCCTGCCCTGCACCTAACAAGTCCCCCTCCCCAGTTGCTGGGATTATAGGTGTGGACCACTGCACCCAACTTGTTTACTTCTTATTGTAGAAAATATTAGAGATAAATGAAAATAGAGTAAACTCCCATGTACCCATCTCCTGTATTTAACAATGATTAACCCATAACCATTTTTATTTCTTCAATATCCTAGCCCACTCACCAACCTCTTACTTCAAGATATAAGTAGTATYGAAGAAAATACCAGGAAAAATATCATTTCATTCCAGAGRGAATTTTAGTAAACACATCCTACCCTTGTGGGAAAGAATGCCTTATTTGAATCCTCTGTCAGCTAATCTGGGATTGTCTCTAGATGGTGCCAACATTTTGGAGCAAGAGTTCTCCCAGTGCTAAGGACATGAATTTTGACTTACCATCCTCCAGTAATTATTTACAAAAGCAGTTATGTTTTGAAAGACCATGAATTGAGCTGGGCATCAACCAATCTTTGTAATAACAAGCTATGGCAGATGAGGATCTTTGAAAATTACTTGATAATTGGGAAAAACCTATTTATTGGTCAAAGTGGACACTCTATCTTGAGTCATTGATTTCTTCGGGCACAGGGATCATGATTGCCTGAGTGACTATGACTGTGTCTTGGGGTGAATGGACACTTGGGAATTCTTACTGCTGATAATGATGAATTTTTATTACAGAAAACACTAATTAGTTCTATTTAGAGGTTTTAGGCCAGTTTAAAACTGTACTTTCAAGAACAAGTTTGCAAATGAAAATAATTTAGAGAGAAGGCATTTCCTTAGCATTTAAATTTTTAATTTTTTAATTTTTATTTTTGGTACTCAGCATGGAACCCAAGGGCATTCTGCCACTGAGCTATGCCCCTAGCCCTTTTCATTTTATTTTTTGAATTTTGATACAGGGCCTCACTGTTACCTAGACTAACCTTGAACTTGAAATTCTGCTGCCTCAACCTCCTAGTAGCTGGGATTCAGACATGTATCACTGTATCTGGTTCTTAGCATTTTGTTTTTTAAAGAAATATTCTTATAGCATATCATGCAAGAACATTTGGTTGGGGAAGATTGTGTTTGGATTAAATATATGGGGTTTGGGAAAAAATATTTTGTTGGTTATATTTTTGGACCTGAATCAACTCATCAAAATTCTGGTTAGAACATACTAGCTGCAGAGAGACAGTAATCAAGCCAAAGCTAGGCTCTTCTCATAAGAGGATCCCAGACTTCCATTGCCAATTACATTTATTTATTTATCTATTCATTTATTTATTTTTAAAAGTAGATACCTATTATTATTATTGTTGTTGTTGTTGTTGTTGTGTGGGACCAGGGATTGAACCCAGGGCCTTATGCTAGGCAAACACTCTACCAACTGAGCTATATCCCCAGCCCCTGCCAATTATATTTAACTATCAGTTTTATGACATTGATTTGATAACTTCAGATACCTGTGTCTGAGGGGATTTATTTGGTTAGGGCATTCGAGGATCTAGGGTTATATAAGTCATGGGAACCAGAGATACTTTATACCCAATGTTCTCAGACTTTTATCTATTCTCACTCTCCAAACACACACTTCCAAGCACAACATCATAATTTTCAGGCTGTAGATGAAGTTAATAGAGAATGTATTGGGCTATTGAACATCAGCAATGGCGTTCTAAAAATATTATGAATTTGAATTTTATTTTAGTCTTTCTCCTTTTCTGTATTGTAAGCCCGATGTAAGATAGGACACATGAGTGTCCTGTCTCTTCCTCTGACTTTAACTAGCCAACTTGCTAACTGTAAGAACTGGTACTAAGTCACCTGGTCCAATGAGAATCTACCCTGGCCACTCTCTGGACATMATGCTTCTTGCATAAAATAGTAAAAATGATATTTAAAAAAAATCTGGACTTAGAAATAATTTATATCATGGGTTTAATATTGTCTTTGACTTGAACCCTATTCTTTGATCAGGGAAGGAGACCACATGAGCTGTTGTAAGATTATAGCAGAAACACTTTTCAAAAGCATTCAGATACAGGTCCATGGGACAGAAAGCGTTTTTTTTTTTTTTTTTTTTTTTTTTTTTTTTTTTAATGTTTCAACAGATTGAATGAAAATAGTATTTAAATTTTTTTTGTTCTTTAGAATTACTTTGCAGTAAGTAGAGAAAAGATCTCTGGTTCCTAATTTTTCTTATTATGAACACATTAAAGTACAAATTATTTCTAATTCAACAGAACAAAATAGTCAAAAGATCATTCTTTGAGGAGCATTGTAAGATTTAAAAAAAAAAAAATCCATGAATGTGGAGAATGTAACCACTAAGAGGAAAAGTTGCGATATGATTCAGTAAAACATTGGGATGGTTTTGCTGGTGATACTCAAACCTTAAACAAAACAAAGCAATATAAAATCCCAAGCCTAATGTAAGTGATCCTCCCAAGGCCCAGTTTACCTGTTGAACCAGTCGTCTGTGTAGCGAGGGTAAGGATAGGGGTCATTGCTGCTGAAGTCGTAACTTGCTTCGGCATTCTGAAAAACACAAGGTGTCTCATTAGGTCGGGAAAGCCAGGGGCACAGCAAAGTGAGACTGCTGTGAGCACACTGTTTTATGTTTACAATCACCACCAGAGCGCTGTGCTAATGTTCTGCACCGGACCAGCTCATGCAAAATTGTGACAGAGTTGAGACAGGGCCTCACTGTTCCTGGGAGCCTTCTCTCCTTTCTGTATGCCCTTGGCCTGGCTTCTTCCTCTCACTCCATTTCAAGTCTTCAAGGGCTGAGCAAAATGGAGCCCCGGTGTCCTCCAGACCTATTCTCATTTGAAGTCATGGTCCCCCTTGTGAGTTTGGCAGATTTCATCCAGAATTCAGGGCTGCTGATAACTTTGTTTGATACTTCTTGGACTGAAGGCCAGAATGTTCTAGTTTTCATGTGACAGGCGGGAAGGGCTGCGGAGTTTTAGAGTTTCTCGGCTCACTTCCAGCTCCCTGTTTCAGACTGGCATAAGGCTCATCTCCTTTCCCCTTATAGGATAGCTGTCCAAGCTCCTAATCTTGACTGCGATCAACCTCAGTTATTCACTCAATAAATACAATGAAGAGTCCAATACATGCCAGAAACATTGCTGAGAATGAAGTGCAGCCCTGGCCTCTTGCCTCTTGCCATCTTTATAGCCTAATTAGTGGAACAAACAGCAAAAGGGATCGAAAAATCAAACACACAATTGCAAACTGTGACAGGCATGTATTCTTACACTCTACAGTAGAAGGTGGGTGGGTACAACCTCAGTGAGAAAGTCTTATGTTTGTTTGTGCTGGGAACTGAACCCAGGACCTCACACAGGCTAGGCAAACACTCTATCATGGAGCCACATCCCCAGCCCAAGGAAGGTGAAATTCTACGTCATCCTATACTTCTACTTTTCCACTGAGAGTCTTTCCACAGGTAAGTCAATTACATACTCTCTTGAGCAGTATTTAAGTGGTTTCATGTTTGTCTTTATTTTACATTTAAGTCACTAGTTAGCCTTTTATCTTTGCAAATGATGAGAGGTGACCCATTATCATTTAGTGACTAATCCATTCCTTCCTCATTGCTTGCCTGGGGAGACTGATCTCTGAAAGTTCCTTTCTTCTCCTCCTCTTTGTTTTTGGGCTCTGCAATAAATACACCAGATTTCTTGGTTCACAGGACACATGGATCCAGGGAACACTGAATTKGATTTGCATTCCAGCTTTGGTACCTCCTGATTCCATGGGTCCTGGGACATATTCATAAATTTTCCTCCTTGAAGAGCTAAAACACTTTAGTTTGGGACACACCTTGGTGTGTACACCTAATGTATTAGTGGCATAATGTTTTTAAGAGAAAAATTGACTCATTCCATTAATATTTGTATTGRTTTGGTGGGTCTCAAAAGGCTGCAAGTCACCAGTAGTTGTAATGATCAGCTCAGGTCAAGTGTCCAGAATCTGAAAATCTGAAATCTGTAATTCCCAAATTGGAAACTTTTTGAGTGCTAACAGGACACCACAAGTGGAAAATTGCACACCTGACCTGATATGTCTGGTTTTAGTGAGAATATGGGTGCATTAAAGATATTGCATAAAATTACCTTCAGGGTAAATGCATAGGTATATATGAAACAGAAATGACTTTCATGTATAGACTTGGATCCCACCCCCAAGATAGCTCATTATAAATATGCAGATATCTCTAAGTCTGAAAAGAAATCCCAAATTCAAAACACTGGTGATCCCAAGCATTTTGGATGAAGGTTACTCAACCTGTACTAATTTATTTAAATAAATGTATGTGGGCAGAAGTCATCTTGAAATTTGGCTCTGTCATTTTTCCYTGAATCAATGTTGTTTGTTTTATTGGTCCTGGGGATTGTATCTCTGGGGTGCTTAATCACTGAGCCATATGGTCAGTACTTTTATTTTTTATTTTTTAGACGGCATCTTGCTAAGTTGCTTAGGACATTGCTAAATTGCTGAGGCTGACCTTAAACTGTATATGAAACCGAAATGACTTTCATGTATAGACTTGGGTCCCAAGTTCTTCTTCCTTAGCCTCCTGAGTCACTGGGATTATAGGCATGTGCCACCATACTTGGCTTTTCTTGAATCTTGAACACATATATCCTTTATTTGTAATCTAGGTCTTCACCCAACTCCAGTTCACTAGAAAGGAAGTCCGTCTCCACTAGCCATAATGACTGGCAGGTCCCTAGTTTCTCTTTTCCTCCTCCACTTAGAGCCCAAATTACTTTCACTTGTGAAGTTTAATTCTGTATCTGTAGTACAATCCTTGTCTTTGGGGGAACCYCTCAGATTTCACACTCTCTGCCCCCTTCCGCCTTGACTTCTTTTGAGATATTTGGATTTCAGTTCTTTTCAGGGATACTGTTTTAAAATTAAAACTTATTTCTCTTCCTTAGATATATTCTGTTATCCTTGACCTTCTCTGAAGTTTTCAGAAATAAGAGCATTCTTAGGTAGAGTTAGTGGGGCAGGAATATTGAGAAAAGTACCACTTAATAATTTTCTTTTGGTCTTCAAGGTGAGRTTGCTACTTAAACAATAGAATTGGAAGAATCTTTGCTAAGTCTGGTAAATAGAATGCTCTGATTATTTTAGGTTAAATTTTAATCTAAGATGAAGTGCGCCAGGATCCATGTCTCCTTTCTCATGCTTTTAGTCCTTCAAAGCTTAAGAACAATTCTAGAGACAGGGAGGGAGGGTAGAGACAAAACCTGAGTTGACCAATATCCAGTTTCTATCATCAGCACAAGTAAGGTGGCAGATAGAAAKTTAGTTACAGAGAAACAGAATTTCTGCACTTGATACTTAACTGCTGAGTGACTGAGTTTATAAGCGTTACACTCTGGCTTATTTTTCTGGCTCATAATTACCACTTGGGGCTGGGTTGAGGTCTCTTGGCTCTCATTCCTGACTCTGGAGAAGATGGCTTACCCTGAGTCGGTGGGGTATAGAAGGAGGGAGTAGGAAATTCTGACAGCAGAACTTCAAGCTGGGAACCCTTGAAACTCTACAGCCATTTTATTTATTTATCCATGTTTTTTTTTATTGGTGCATTTTAGCTGTTTATAATGGGAGATTTGTTGTCACACAGTTTATATACACACAACATAATAATATAATTTGACTCTACAACCATTTTTATAAAAAGAAGAAAGACCATGTGTCATCTGAGGTCAAATTTGCCTCTCAACATTGAAATAGATGACGACTTAGGAACCCTAATAATTTTGTTTTCTTTACAATGAATTTGATGACTAATGATTGATTCTTTGGGTAGTAGGCCGCAGTAAGCTTTAAGAAAAGCAAATAATTGTTCTTTTTTGGCTGTATGTTTTCTGGCTAGAAATCAAATGGTTGATAGCAAGAAAGAGCAGTGAGCAATTTTTTTTCCAAGAGTTCTGTTTATGCTTTTATGGTCAAACTGAATCATTTATTGATTCAAATTATAATGTCTCCTATAAAATTATTTGTGTACAAGAGTAAGTTAAACTGGTCTTGAATTATATTAGACTTTTCTATCATAGCCATCAACATGGACATTTGAGAGTAAGTAGCGTTTTGGTAAACAGAATGCTCTGATTATCTTAGGTTAAACTAGATGCTTCTTGTTTGTACTYGACTAACTTCTTTCTAAAATACATTACTCTATTTTCTTGCACTAGAAATCCTGTTTAGTGAACATGATTTAATCTTTGATGATTCAGGATCAGGATGATTCGGAGTCATCATTAAGAACTCAAATTATCACTGTATTATGTCACAGAAAGTGAGAAGATGGGTTGGATCCAAACTGACCTCAGGGCTTCCCTGGAAGTTATTTCTGGAAGAAACTTCTCATAATGGCTCATTTTTTTGCTTAAAGAAGTTGAATGCAGGGGGAATCCCCCCATYTCTGCTATTTAATAATACTAAAGCTTAATTTCTGAATATTTGAATACATAGAAAACAAGACTATACTTGCTCTTGGCTAGAAAGTCTAATAATTATGGGTTTGGTCATTGTTTGCACTTTCCAAATAGATGGCCTGCCGGCATGCACACTAAGCTAAGAAAGGACAAGGGGAGTGCTTATTTTCACAAAGTCCTCTGTCTTGCTGTATCTGGAGCTGCATTTGTTGCACAGGCTGACCAATGGCATGCTTCAGATGCTGCATCTGGTCTCACTATGAAGCCTGGTGTGGAGGACGGACGGAAGTTCATGAATCCAGTGGTAACCAGGCCTACTGCTTTCACATCTTCAGAGAAGCTTCTGAGGCCCCTGAGATTGAATCTGGCTYTGAAACTGCCACCTTTATCTCTAAACCTGAAATTTATGTCTTTGGGACCAGTTTGCCCCTCTTGCTGGACTGCACAAGACGTGTGTCTGCAGGTACCAGCTTGTTGGAGGAGAAGAAAGAGAAACATTAAAGTCAGAAAGATCTGGTTTTTGGCCTTGAACTTTTAAAATTTTTATGTTTTGGGAATCACAGATTCCTCATTTTCAAAATGCAGATGATACAACCCTTACTACTTGGTTGCTGTGAGGGTGAAATGAAAGTATGATGGATTCAGTGTGGGCTTTCTCTCATCTCTTGCTTTTTTTGTGCCTTTCTCTTTCTTTGATCACTTTCAGCAGGAGTCACAAAATAGAGCCCATGGGTTGCATATGCCCCACCACTTGTTTTCTGTAAATAAAGTTTTATTGGAACACAGCCACAWCTATTTGTTTACAAACTGCCTATGACTGTCTTTGCAACACAACGGCAGAATGAATAGTAGTACAGAGGCCCGCAAAGCTTGAAGTGTCCACTCTCTGGCCTACAGTTGGAAAGAGTTTGCCAATGTCTGACCCATGTCCTAGGGCACTTGTGCTCCCTGGAAGTCATCTGATGGCCTAAACTATAACATCTCATTCAGGAAGACCATGTCTTCCTGGGAAGTCTCATTTCATGGGAGACACCTGTCTTGTGTCCTGTCTGTCCTCTCTCAGTGGGCTGAGGCTGC